CAGGAGCTGATAAAACTGATAAGGGCTAATGAAAATCCTCGAAAGCGTAGAGCTACTATAATAATGGCTTTAATAGTGGAGCTTTGGCAGTTTGGCATGTGATGTGGAGTATGGCAGGATCATAGACGACCAATGATAGGAACTGATAACAGCTGATAACGACTGATAAGAGCACTTACCAACTGAATTTAACTCCTGTGGTAACTACGATGTATTTATGATTACGACTATTATACAGATCACGACCGTTACCCAGCAAGGTTTGTATGTCGATGGAAGATCAAGGTTACTTAAGTTTTGATATCATTCACGACAAAGCTCATCCGACCGCCAATAAATTGGGATTCTCAACTAATGATGTACCCAGGGAGGAAAGAAGGTCCAGTGATAACGACATCTTATAGTGGTGTTATTATCACTTGAGAACATTTGTGTGAGTACTACGCAATTTTTTGGTTGCCTATCAGTTAAACCTTTAATGGTTCATAATTTTCAAGATGAAGAGCAACCGATTGACTTTTTTAATCGTAGGGTTAAGCGTGGGCATATGTTGCACACATTGGCGTGCGTAGCCCAACTGGTCAGTATTTAAATTTCTTTCCAAGCGAAACATGTGCTTTCAGTTTTTTTTATCTAGTTGGCTTTTGTTCGATTTGTTCTTTTCGGAATTTCTCTATTTGTTCTTCTCGGGAGAAAATGTAATATAAATAATCGAAACAATTAGTTGCTTCGTTAGTCACAGAGGGGAAATGGACAAAAAACTGTAGAAGGATACTTTTCTTTCGTGTGAAAAAAGTGATGAAAACTTTCAAAACGTCATAATAAAAGTTATACACGAGTTATAAATCGTTTGCTGGCATGAAATAAAAGTGAGATTTAGTCAGATATTCTACAAATTCATGTGAGAATTAGATATCACTACGAACCTGGATAGAACCTATTTATAACAAGGCGGAACCAGAGTTTTAGGAGTTTGGTCTTGATGTTTCCTGAAGGTGTTTTATTGTCAGTATGCCAAGGATCGTGTCCTCTAATACGCTTTAGCTAAAATTACTTTTCGTGAAGCCTCGGTATCTACGAGCGAACAGTTTCAATGGTGGAGCAGCCAGCAATGCGAGGGTACTTCATTTCCTTTAAGAATGGAAGAACTAGACTAGATGAAAAACAGCGTAAAAACGAGCCTCCTTCGAAGTACGGTAGTATTGTTATCCTGCTTTCGACTGTCCTTCCGCCCTCTAGACTCAGCTCGCGAATACGTTGATTCAGTTCTATCCTAAAAACAGCGACGGATACATTTTATCATTGCTGATTCACTTTTGTGATGCGATGCGATTCGTTCACTAAAAACAGAAAAAAATTCAGGTGACTTAGTACTTCCTACTATTTTTCCAAGCAAAGGGCGCAGGTGGTGTAGGGGCAAGTGGCGCACACAATCACATACTTAGTGCGGGACCGAATCCCGAGTCGGAATCTTAGACAACCGAGCCATCTATCCTTTCAGGATCGGTTGAGTGAACCCGAATCCGTCTGGGAGGATAAATGGACGCATGCACGGGCTGACCGAAGCAATTCATTGGAAGGCCCCATCATTTGCATAACCTGTCGTCCCATTGATCATCAACTTCCTCGAGCGGGAGCCAGTAGCGTCTCCACTCGTCCCCGAAGTGAGTCAAAGATCCGGTGGATCGTCCTCACTCGAGAGACACAGGAACAGTATTTTTTCGTTCATGGCTTATTTCTTTCGTTCATAGCTTTCGTGAAGAGGTCTGACCATAGCGCTGGCGGCCGTTATGGTGTCGGTTTGACGTCCCGAGGGGTTCAGTAAGTAACCGTGGGTACAACGGTCATCACAAAATCGTATGACGTGTCCGGTTCACCTTAACTTCGATTGCTTGACGTAGGTAACCACATCTCTGATCTTCCTTAGTTGACGGAGTTCAGAACTCCACATTCCTTTCTGCACTTGCGTGTGTAGAAAAATTCTGAGAATCTCCTTTCCATATCGCGTTGAATGACAATGACTGCATGCTCATCCTGCTTTTGTAAGGTCCAAGACTCACAGGCTCATGTCAATGTCGACAAGTGGGGCGAGCTTGGATGTTTTTCGGATCTTCCACTACCCCCTCGATGTTTAAATGATCCCCATGCCGCTCTTACTCTTCTGCTCAGCTCCGAAGCTAGGTCGTTCGTCATGCCGACTGGTTTAAGTAGCCAGGTGCTAGAACTTTTAAAGATTAATGTGATCGATTTTAGTGAACCCTCGACGAAACTTGCTTGTCATGGCTGTACTTCCAATAGTATTCTCTCAATCCTGTTAAGGACACTTATGGAAAGCTAATAGATTACAGAGAGCAGGCAGATTGGGCAATAGCTGGCATTATCACCTGGTCCCTCTGATGATAATGCCAACTATTATGCAGCAAGGGTGTGTGTCGTTAGTTACGACTAGGCTAAACTTTGCGCTGTGGTGCGAAGTCACCTCAATTGTAACTAACCTCATCTTGGTTACGCCTCCCCTTGATCGTAACTAACCTCATCTTATTTATGAGAATGATGGCGAATGATGATAATGATGAGAAAATGAAACTTCAAAAAAATTAGTTTTTCAACGTAAAATTTTCATGGTCTTTGGTTTAAAGAGTTTAATAGAAAAATTCGATGATCATAAAAGTGAAGTTCGTGTAAGATGTAAAAAAAATCCTTTTTTTCAAAATTCTACTTATCTAATATATCAAACAACATTTACCGAAGAGACGTAGTTGTTTAATATCACGGCATCTCGTGTTTGAATGTCATTGAACGCCCGCCGACTGATCAGGACTTCTCACGGGATATTACAATACTTCAGGCTGAGTTCAGCACATTGAAGAGAGTTCATCAGCTACTATTTAACCTCGTGAGTAAGAGATTTATATGCACCTGTTGACAATAGAAAAGAAGCTAAGAAGAAGATTGCTTAGAACCTTACTATGTATTCTGACGACACTTTCTACTACTTCCGAAATTTCACGGGGTACCCTTCAACTTCAACGCAGCTCCAATCCACACCTCAACCCTTTTACTATGCCACTTCTGTACCGACGCAACCTCCACAAGTGTAGCTAGAACCCGCAGCACAACCATTATACCATGCTACATCCGTACCTATACAACCTTCGCTACCGCAGTTCCAACCCGCACCGCTACCCTTGTACTATGCTACTTCTGCACCTACCCAACCGTTCCAACCCGTACCGCAGCCTTCCCTCCAATCTACCCAACCTGCCTCTTTCCTCCTCTCCCCTATTACCTCAAACCTCCCCTGAAGATATACTAGTTCCTGAGCCGGTAGGGTCGCCAAGCCCCGCTCCATTAGAAACCCAACATTAAATCTAACGAGACGCAACCAGTACGGTTTATGAGGAAAAGCATTTAAGTAAGTAAAGAAAATCGGGTTTTAATCTACAGAATTCCTGGTACAGAATATGCATATACTTTTGAGAAGGTGCACGCGAACAAGTATGAGGAAGTTTTTCGATGCATTCAGTGCAAAAGACCATCTAGGTTATTTAATTATCATTTTTAAGATACTAGGAAATTAAGGCTTCTTCACATTCTACTGTACTTTTTTGTTGAAATTTCTACCATCTTGCATGGTAACAAAACTCTTTAAACCGAAGACCTTGAAAATTTCACGTTGAAAAAGTGATTTTTTAAAGTTTCATTTTCTCATCATTCGCAATAACTCTCGCAAGTAAGATGAGGTTAGTTACCATCAAGGGGAGGCGCGTAACTAAGATGAGGTTAGTTACGATTGAGACCACTTCGCACCTCGGCGCGAAGTATTCTCAGTCGTAGCTAACGACCCACACCCATGTAGCAACGCAGTCACGCTCTTTTTCCCGTTTCTTTGTATTACAGGGTTCCGCGTGAATAGTCGAGCCAGCGTTCTGATCATAACTGGGGAAAAACTTAAGACTGTCCTTGTTTATCCTATTTAGACTGAGCGCTGTGGATTTTTTATCGACGTGACGGCATGCCAAACTATGGAATAGTAAACTGAGTGAACGACATACCCATCCTACCTACGGTGGTAGGTAGGCGGTTAAACGTGGCTGTCAAAAGAGTAGAAGTCGTAGATGACATTCTCCATTGCTATTCGAGATGCAGTCTTGTTCCGTCAGGACGACAGAGGGGGTCATCTCGGCCTTACAATTGACGAAGCTCCGGCGGGTTTTGCGAATGCTTCGGCCATAACTGTTGCCCTTCTCCCTTTCAGTTCTCCTGAANCACTTCTCTGCATTGCTTCGCAAGTTCGCGCGTTTTTTAACGATTTCCTGTCTTTTACGCGATTCCTCGCTAGCGTAACAGCTCGTGTGCCTTCGAAGAGAGACGTTTCTTGGTAACTTGTGCACTCTCTGCTTTCCTAGCTTTATCATGAGTCGACGAGACGGTTATGTTCCTAATCCATGTTGCCGATAACGGAACGTTCCATAAGCTCGCGAAGGAAGCTATGTGATCCCAACTGACGACGGTTTTGCGGCTTCGTTACCCGGCTTTTGCAGCTTTCTCTACGCACTGTAAATCAGAATATAGTGAGAAGGAGCCGACGCCATGTACAACATCGGAAGCACAGCAGCGCCAGTGAGGTGAAGCCTTCGATTAAAGATTGTGTGATCTGTTTTGTCATGGAATTGTCTACCAGGTAACTCCTAAGCCCATCACATATGAAAGGGCTTCTGAAACTGAGAATTGGATGCTGCGGTCAACACAACATACTTGGGAAGTCTCTTCCCCCGCTGATTCTGTTCCGTTCCGTCATTTACGATTCGGAGCTGTTCAACCGTTTTTAAGAAGCCGCTCTTGGCGTGGAAATCACGGAAGATGAACTTGAAAATTGTTGTTTCCGCTGTAAGGTTTTTTCAGGCCCGTAAGATGCTTCCAGCTTCTCCTCTGCGTAGCTTGATATTGATGCGTAAGCGATAAAGAGGTTGGAGTAACGAGTCCAGGTATATCCTCTCGATCGCCTCTGTCCTTAGGACTGTCAAGCTTTTGTACGAGTCGATGTTCATGGACAAGTGCGTGTTGACACAGGACACCCACACTACCGACGCCTCTGGTGTCACATAATTCGAGGGATAGTTCTTTGCAGGCCGAAAAATCGCCGTAGAGTGGGCGATGCCATCGCGTTTTGGTCAGTCCGACGATATCGTACTTGATTTTCCTGACTTACATCATCGGGTCTCCGATATGCGCTTCCGCTTCTGCAAGCGTGCATGCATTGGAAGTACAAATCGCCACTGTAGGTATCCTCCTTCTACAGCGGTCTCACACAATGCTGAGAGCACCAACAAGCTCAGGCTCAGCACGAGCCTCATTTATATCACTGCTTCTGGCACATGTGTACTATCGAGAAGCTTGCCAGGCTCTGAGGTGGAGCTAGGTTGACTAGCTAGCCAGACTTTTCCAGGGTGAAGAAAGATCTTTGAATCCAGAGGCGACCACAAACTACCTCCCGGATGACTCTCAACTACTCATTGCAAGCTTTTGACAGAGCCGATGTGCAACCGCACCCGCAGACTTTCGAAACACCGCGTGGATGGATACACTGAAGGGACTTGAGATATAATCGATTTGACACAGAGGAACAGAGAATCATTCTCTAAATTACCTACGTCTCTAGGTATGCACTGGTGACTTTTGGTTTACATTGTACTACCACTACCCGCGACCTGGGGTTGCGCCACGCAGCCTCGCCACGAACCGGCTAGAGATCCTTCGTCTCGCGTGGAGAAGGAACCATCAGCGAAAAAGATACGTGGGTAGGACACATACGCATTCTAACCCACTACAATTCTGAATGGATGTCGAGTCCTGCGGCACATCCCAAAAAACGAGATCAATGAAAGCCATAGACTATCCATCATTCCTTATTTTACCAAGGAACAAAGCAAAATCATCGTAGCCACCATGCCACCTCCTTATGGCTCCTTCCATAAGCCATACTTAAGGGTAAGTAGAGGAAGATGAGAACTGATTTAAAGTCATAATAAAAACAAAACTGTGATAGTCACCTCATGCCTTCCTGTAGACTGCTTTCGGTGACTTGTCAATGGCTTGATGGTGCTGCTCACGCCTTTACGTGAACTTTGTTCTCTATAAGAAAAAACGGCGGTTTCACAGAGTGACAATAGCGAAACGATAGAAGGTTTTTGATGAAATCAAAAGCCGAAACTTTGCTTAATGTGATAAGATTAAATTATATAGTTCATGCTAGGGTCATTGTAGGAACGCTGAGAGCAAAACTAAAAAGAGATGGAAAAGATATGCAGGAAAATACTAAGCACTGAAAGTAGCACTGAGGAAACTGCATCTAACCTAGAACTATTGGGTTGTCCGAAAAGTTCCTGCCGATTTACGAATCATCTTTGAATGAAAATTTCTAGAAGAAGAAATCCATTGATTGAACAATCCTATCCATTCTGTTCAGTAGAATTCGCCAGGTTCCAGTTCCCCTCTTCCATAGAAGGTTCCAGACTTAAAACCAAAAAATCCACTCAGGTGCTTTTTGTAGTCCTCCAGCGAATTGAACGATTTTCCATCCAAAGAATTTTGCAGAAACCCAAACAAGTGGTATTCTGATGCTGCTATGTTTGGAGTATATGGGAGTGTGGTAAGACATCTCACCCGAGCTTTAGCAACTTTTGA